TCATATTAACCAGTTTTTATGCCTCATATTAACCAGTTGACAATCAGAAGCCATTCTGTGGGACGGGGAACCTGCTAACCTGCACAGGTGGGACATTCTGAAGCCATTCCAGGGGACTAATAACGTCCATTTCATTGATGATAACATCCGAAGCTGGTGACCAGCAGCKGCTCCTCTGCTCCACTGACTCTTCGGCCTCTTCTTCCTCCTGCAGCTGACGGTGCTGCCGGRGCCGAGCTCCAACCGCTGGCAGGAGATCACAACTGGTAGGTTGGAGCTGATCCAGACCCTGATCGAGGAGCAGCTCATCAATAAAGTGGACTATATCTTCTGTCTGGACGTGGACTCAAAGTTCCATGGTCGCTGGGGGACCGAGTCTCTGGGAGAACTGGTCTCTGTGATCCATCCTGGTATGTAGACAAGTCCTCCAGGTCTACGTGGAGAAGAACTCATGAAGGTCCCGTCACGCTYTAACGTTTTAGACAACTTATGAAAAGTTTYTMCAACATTAAAGATGTCTACGRTGGAGATGGAATTCYATAAAATCTACAGGAAGCTTCTTTTGGACCTACAGGTCCTGTAATGCTTACAYTTAGATCAAATAAAACKAAATTGAGTAAAACAGCTAAAACAAAATTTCACAAGTTGTCTAAAATTTTGTCGTGTGACAGGACCGTAACTTTGTCTTATCTACAGCGGTGAGAGAATGTCCTTCCAGGTTTATTATCTGTTTGTCACACAGTTTAATGTTTCAGAGGTCCTGAAAGTCTTTTTGTTTTGTCTTCATTCTCTTCAGGTTACTTTAAAACCGACCGCAGCAAGCTACCGTACGAGCGGCGGCCATCTTCCCGAGCCTTCATCGCTGCTGACGACGGAGACTTCTACTACTGCGCTGGGGCATTCGGAGGTCTCGTGCAGGAAGTCCACCAGCTCGCCAGAACCTGCCGCATCAACTTCGAGGACGATGCCAAGGAGGGGATTGAGGCCGCCTGGCAGGAGGAGAGTCACCTGAACAGGTATTTGTGTCAGAGCACAGGGGGTGGGGCTTGTTTGTGTTGTGCTGATGCAGAGTTTTAAAGTAACTAAGTACAAATACTTCTTTACTGTATTTAAGTAGAATTTTTGGGTATCTGTACTTTACTTGAGTAATTATTTTTCAGCCTACTTTTTACTTCTTACATTTTTAAAAAGACAAGAAGTANTCACCAGCAGGAGGAGCTCCGAACAAAGAACCACAGAGAGAGAGAGGAGAAAAACAAGTTAATGAAAGCCAGATGCACTCAAAAGCAGCAACAGAAAACCCCCACTCCTGGCTGCACTGCCATAAATCACTCCCAGACAAGACAAAGAAGCTGCAGCAAGAAAAAAACTTTAAAGCACCCCCACAATTTGGTTTCAGCCCAAACCGAGCTAAGTCAATACACAAATAATAAACAGAAAAAAACAACAAAACCCCACAATTAACAACAGACACACATTTAAGACAGACAAACACACAGGTCTGTACTCCCTTGCTTGAACAGAACTTTAAAAAAACAACAAAAAAATCCTGACGTGTCCCCTTTAAACTTCCAGTAACTAGACGGAGCTTCCACCACCCAATCTGTTCATTACCTCCCCGGCCTATTTCATCGGAATTAAACAGCACTGAGGCCTCAGAAGACACTGCAACCGGGTACTTTTATCCGGGCGAGATAACAAAAGATTAGGCTGAACGGCTCCGCACAACCGCGCCCTCCAGCAGCTACCCGGGCGGCACAGACGTCTCTATGGCCGACCCGTTCCACTAGCCACGAAGTTGCGGCGAACACTCAACACGAGATGCATCTCAACACTTTTACTTCAAAAGTACGCGTACTTAACACACAAACCGCCAGAGAACACACACATAATCTCTGCGGCGGGCAACACGTCATAAAAAAACGAATAAATTAGCAAGGTTTGAACACACAAAAACAAAACAAACACAGAACTCCAGACATTAGACGGAGCCCATCACTGTGGCCGCCGACAAAACTCAAATGAACCGCACTGAGTCTCTGAGGCAAAAAATTAAAAAAAAAAACAGAAGTAAATATGGCCAATAATACCCCTGCTAATTCAATATTAACCTTTTAAGACTGTACAGGCCTGTTCGTGGACGCCATTTATGATGTGTTCGGCCCGGTTCTTCTGAGCTTGTCAGCGGCTGGACCCTTCCGTCTGCCCTKGTCTGCCCGCTGCTCTCCTGGGTTGATGGAAAATCAGAGAGCGTCCTCCTGGAAACTTGTTGACTGT